ACAAGACAGGGTACACACTACACAGAACACCTCATGAAGGGGACAAGACAGGGTACACACTACACAGAACACCTCATGGAGGACAAGACAGGGTACACACTACACAGAACACCTCATGAAGGGCAAGACAGGGTACACACTACACACAGAACACCTCATGGAGGGGCAAGACAGGGTACACACTAAAACAGAACACCTCATGAAGGACAAGACAGGATGCACACTACACAGAACACCTCATGAAGGGCAAGACAGGGTACACACTACACAGAACACCTCATGAAGGACAAGACAGGGTACACACTACAAAGAACACCTCATGAAGGACAAGACAGGGTGCACACTACACAGAACACCTCATGGAGGACAAGACAGGGTACACACTACACAAGAACACCTCATGAAGGACAAGACAGGGTACACACTACACAGAACACCTCATGGAGGACAAGACAGGGTACACACTACACAAGAACACCTCATGAAGGGCAAGACAGGGTACACACACACACAGAACACCTCATGGAGGGCAAGACAGGGTACACACTACACAGAACACCTCATGAAGGGGCAAGACAGGGTACACACTACACAGAACACCTCATGAAGGGCAAGACAGGGTACACACTACACAGAACACCTCATGAAGGGCAAGACAGGGTACACACACACAACAGAACACCTCATGAAGGACAAGACAGGGTACACACTACACAGAACACCTCATGAAGGGCAAGACAGGGTACACACTACACAGAACACCTCATGAAGGACAAGACAGGGTACACACTACACAGAACACCTCATGGAGGACAAGACAGGGTACACACTACACAGAACACCTCATGAAGGACAAGACAGGGTACACACTACACAGAACACCTCATGGAGGACAAGACAGGGTACACACTACACAGAACACCTCATGAAGGACAAGACAGGGTACACACTACACAGAACACCTCATGAAGGACAAGACAGGGTACACACTACACAGAACACCTCATGAAGGACAAGACAGGGTACACACTACACAGAACACCTCATGGAGGACAAGACAGGGTACACACTACACAGAACACCTCATGAAGGACAAGACAGGGTACACACTACACAGAACACCTCATGGAGGACAAGACAGGGTACACACTACACAGAACACCTCATGGAGGGACAAGACAGGGTACACACTACACAGAACACCTCATGAAGGAGCAAGACAGGGTACACACTACACAGAACACCTCATGAAGGGACAAGACAGGGTACACACTACTACACAGAACACCTCATGAAGGACAAGACAGGGTACACACTACACAGAACACCTCATGAGAAGGACAAGACAGGGTACACACTACACAGAACACCTCACGAAGGGCAAGACGGTACACACTACACAGAACACCTCATGGAGGACAAGACAGGGTACACACTTACACAGAACACCTCATGAAGGACAAGACAGGGTACACACTACACAGAACACCTCATGAAGGACAAGACAGGGTACACACTACACAGAACACCTCATGGAGGACAAGACAGGGTACACACTACACAGAACACCTCATGAAGGACAAGACAGGGTACACACTACACAGAACACCTCATGAAGGACAAGACAGGGTACACACTACACAGAACACCACATGAAGGACAAGACAGGGTACACACTACACAGAACACCTCATGAAGGGCAAGACAGGGTACACACTACACAGAACACCTCATGAAGGACAAGACAGGGTACACACTACACAGAACACCTCCTCATGAAGGACAAGACAGGGTACACACTACACAGAACACCTCATGGAGGACAAGACAGGGTACACACTACACAGAACACCTCATGAAGGGCAAGACAGGGTACACACTACACAGAACACCTCATGAAGGGGGTACAAGACAGGGTACACACTACACAGAACACCTCATGGAGGACAAGACAGGGTACACACTACACAGAACACCTCATGAAGGACAAGACAGGGTACACACTACACAGAACACCTCATGAAGGACAAGACAGGGTGCACACTACACAGAACACCTCATGAAGGACAAGACAGGGTACACACTACACAGAACACCCTCATCAAAGGGCAAGACAGGGTACACACTACACAGAACACCTCATGAAGGGCAAGACAGGGTACACACTACACAGAACACCCCATGAAGGACAAGACAGGGTACACACTACACAGAACACCTCATGAAGGGCAAGACAGGGTACACACTACACAGAACACCTCATGAAGGGACAAGACAGGGTACACACTACACAGAACACCTCATGAAGGACAAGACAGGGTGCACACTACAAAGAACACCTCATGAAGGGCAAGACAGAGTGCACACTACAGAGAACACCTCATGAAGGACAAAACAGGGTACATACAACACAGAACACCTCATGAAGGACAAGACAGGGTACACACTACACAGAACACCTCATGCAGGACAAGACAGGGTACACACTACACAGAACACCTCATGAAGGGCAAGACAGGGTACACACAAAACAGAACACCTCATGAAGGGCAAGACAGGGTGCACACTACACAGAACACCTCATGGAGGACAAGACAGGGTACACACTACACAACACCTCATGAAGGACAAAACAGGGTACACACTACAAAGAACACCTCATGAAGGACAAGAAAGGGTACACACTACACAGAACACTTCATGAAGGACAAGACAGCATACACACTGCAAAGAACACCTCATGGAGGACAAGACAGGGTGCACACTACAAAGAACACCTCATGAAGGAGAAGAAAGGGTACACACTACACAGAACACTTCATGAAGCGCAAGACAGGGTATACACTACACAGAACACCTCATGAAGGACAAGACAGCATACACACTACAAAGAACACCTCATGAAGGGCAAGACAGGGTGCACACGACAAAAAACACCTAATGGAGGACAAGACAGGGTACACACTACAAAGAACACCTCATGAAGGACAAGACAGGGTACACACTACACAGTTCACCTCATGGAGGACAAGACAGGGTACACACTACACAGAACACCTCATGAAGGGCAAGACAGGGTGCACACTACAAAGAACTACTCATGAAGGGCAAGACATGGTACACAATACACATAACACCTCATGGAGGGCAAGACAGGGTACACACAAAACAGAACACCTCATGAAGGACAAGACAGGGTACACACTACACAGAACACCTCATGAAGGGCAAGACAGGATGCACACTACACAGAACACCTCATGAAGGGCAAGACAGGGTACACAATACACATAACACCTCATGGAGGGCAAGACAGGGTACACACAAAACAGAACACCTCATGAAGGACAAGACAGGGTACACACAACACACAACACCACATGAAGGACAAGACAGGGTACACACTACACAGAACACCACATGAAGGACAAGACAGGGTACACACTACACTGGAACACCACATGAAGGACAAGACAGGGTACACACTACACAGAACACCTCATGGAGGACAAGACAGGGTACACACAACACAGAACACCTCATGGAGGACAAGACAGGGTACACACTACACAGAACACCTCATCAAGGGCAAGACAGGGTACACACAACACAGAACACCTCATGAAGGGCAAGACAGGGTACACACAAAAGAGAACACCTCATGAAGGGCAAGACAGGATGCACACTACACAGAACACCTCATGAAGGGCAAGACAGGGTACACAATACACATAACACCTCATGGAGGGCAAGACAGGGTACACACAAAACAGAACACCTCATGAAGGACAAGACAGGGTACACACAACACACAACACCACATGAAGGACAAGACAGGGTACACACTACACAGAACACCTCATGGAGGACAAGACAGGGTACACACAACACAGAACACCTCATGAAGGACAAGACAGGGTACACACTACACAGAACACCTCATGGAGGACAAGACAGGGTACACACTACACAGAACACCTCATCAAGGGGCAAGACAGGGTACACACAACACAGAACACCTCATGAAGGGCAAGACAGGGTACACACAAAAGAGAACACCTCATGAAGGGCAAGACAGGGTGCACACTATACAGAACACCTCATGGAGGACAAGACAGGGTACACACTACACAACACCTCATGAAGGAGAAGACAGGGTACACACTACACAGAAAACCTCATGAAGAGCAAGACAGGGTACACACTACAAAGAACACCTCATGAAGGGCAAGACAGGGTACACAATACACATAACACCTCATGGAGGGCAAGACAGGGTACACACTACACATAACCCCTCATGAAGGGCAAGACAGGGTAAACAACACCTCATGTAGGGCAACACAGGGTACAGATAAATTACGATCGCTCTCTTTTATTTCCAAATGTCTATTTCTTAATATAGGTTTTTAGAATCACAAGTGGGATAGGTTTCGTTGAATATGCAAATAAAATAATATTTTTTTCAGCTACATTAAATCCAAAAGCAGATACTAAATGATATATAATCACAACAATATTATTACGATGATTACATATGTGTAGATCTAATCTTAAAATTATTGCTGCCATACCCCTGGTGGAATTTTAAAATGAATACGCTGAAAAAAATATGAATGACCCCAAAAGGGTAAGACTAAAATATCCCCAGAGATGTGACATATAAGCCTAATATGTTAAAGATTAAAGCTATGCAAAATCATCACGGCGTCGGAGTGTGTTGTTTACGCTGGAAACGGAAATGGCTAGCACATGATGCCGCTTACAACACAGACACTCACAAAGACCCATGGACGCGAAGCAGGAATTGAGTTCAGTTTGAGTTGAGACTGATTTGTGAAACCGGCTTAAAAAATTTGTCTCGAGAAATAATGTTCCTGGTTTCCTTGTTTTCGAGAAATTTCACAACCTGGTTGCCGACGTCAGCGACACTGTTGTGCGTCGTAAGCTGGTTCCCGGTTCCCTGTGCGCGCGGCACCTTGCGATATGCGAGACGGGGCCCAGCTTATAGTCTGTCGAAGCAGAGCGCAGGGAGACCGGTGCAAAGTCTGCGTTCAGCAGGGTACATGACAGAAGTTTGCTAAGCTTTTTTTGTGAATACCTGAAAGATTTGTCAGGTGACAATGGGGCTATTACGATGGGGGATTACACTCATACTCTTCACTCTGGCGTTCACCTATGTACCCAGACTTTTCGCACAAAGCTGCCTCCAATCGTTGAGGGTATTTCCACGAAATTTCGCAAAGTGGCCGAGACGCTCAGGTATGTCTTCAGCTATTCACTATTTGTTTACCTTGTTCTCGGTCCAAGTGCGGTGTACTATTCGGGGTATAACGATAGGTAGAGGCTTGGGAGAGTCGCCACTGCGCAGCCTGAGTTGGGGAAACTCGGTCTCAGACTCAGGCGAGCAATCCCCGCGCAATAACGCTCCCGTCATCTCGCTATATCGCTGGCCTTGTTTACGGCAGTTACGCTCTTGTGGCCTTGAAGGGACACTGTTTTAATTTAACGCCACAATCAGGAATATTACAGATATATGGCAATGATCTAAAAAATAATCCTGACCAGACAATCCAGTGATCAACATTATGAGCATCGATCAAGGCAGTTGGGTGAGTGAGTGAGTTGAGTTTTACGACGCACTCAGCAATATTCCAGCTATATGGTGGCGGTCTGTAAATAATCGAGTCTGGACCAGACAATCCAGTGATCAACAGCATGAGCATCGATCTGCGCAATTGGGAACCGATTTGTCAACCAAGTCAGCGAAACTGACCACCCGATCCCGTTAGTCGCCTCTTACGACAAGATAGTCGCCGTTTTATGGCAAGCACATGGGTTGCTGAAGACCTATTCTACCCCGGATCTTCACGGGTCCAAGGCAGTTGGGATACAATGGGGTGTCAACCATGTCAGCAAGCTTGACCACCCAATCCCTCTAGTTGCTGCTTATAATAAGCATGGGTTACTGTTGACCAATTCTAACATGGGTGTCGTTCCACTAACTGATCTTAATTATTTACGATCAATGTTAGCAAGTTACGCCAATTTTGCAATCGTCTTAGCTAAAAGTTACACCCGTTCCACTAACCGATCTTAGGCCGATCATAGCTGGTCCCGATCTTACGATCCGATCTAAGCCTAGATCGTGACTCTTTCATGAGAGAGATAGAGAAATGCGAGGCACAAGTTATCTCCTTTTGCATAGTGTAGAAGACGATGGAAGTAGTTTTGGAACCAAGTGAAAATGTGGAGAAAATACCGCGAGAAAAATATGAGGGTAGTGAGCACCTTGGTTTCAGGGGCAAGTGCGTGTGAACACTGGGTATCAAGCATAATATGTGGCTGAACCTTGTCGATCAGAATAAACCAGGCCTGACGAGGCATCCTCTACCTCTATCCTCTACAGTGTCACACCCTGTAATACGCACTGCTTGCTAGTGGCCGTTGCGGTTTGCTATGTACAGAGTAATCGGATCACTCACGGCTGAAACTACTTTTCACCATGTAGTCTTGCCACACAAATTGTGTAAGTAAAGTCAAACGTTATGCTTTTGGGGGGCAAATTTATCGTATTTTGATAACGACTTGTTAAACTTGGACCAAATATTACAAGAATTGAATGAAAATTCCATGTTAGTTAGTATGTTTTGGCAGCAAATGGAAATAATGTCTGGTTATATTTGTCAAAATAACATACATTTCACAAAACCAATGTGGTACAGGTGACAAGTATTACGATATGTATGTGTGTAGCTGGGTGTGGATAATTTCAATCAATAGTGAAGTTACTCACGAATTTCTAATTTGAGAGGCTATGGCTTTCTACATGTGGAGACACCACGTTTGCTAGTGGCAATGGTTTTCGTTGATATGGTTTGCTAGCATTGATTTTGTTTATGCGGTTTGCCGTTTTTTGGTCTTCCAGGTCCATGAAGTACAGGTGTCATGACTTCGATGTAACAGGTGACCTATTTGACAAAATTATCGAACATTTTTGTAACACCCATCCAGAGAATGAACTAAAATTAGAGTCATACGTTTGTCACCACTGACGGGCAAATTGCAAAATGTGACCAAAAGTCTCAAAATTGCCACTATAAAAAAATATACAAGTTGAATTACTCTTTGCGACAACTTAAGGTAACAATAAACAAATGAAATCGAAAGCATCAACTCTGTTTGGAATCAAACGCTCATAAATTCGTAAATTCACATTTCCTTTGAACACATTCTAATTTTCAAATACTTCATCTAAACACTGACTATCTATGATTGACAAGATTTTTACTACATAGCGTATTAAATGTGAGGTGAGGTGAAATTGGGTTTAACGTCGTGCTTGAGAATATTTCGCTCATTATGACGACATTCATGCGTGTGTGTGTGTATGTGCAGCTGCTTGTACTAGCCCAGACTGAAGCTGGTTTTATAGTGCTAGCTCACTGAGATACCATGCCACAGTGAAGCATGAATACCCCATTCAGACACATTATACTGACTCCGAGCCTACCAGTTCTTGTTGTACCCATTAATGCCGAGCTCCAGGCAGGGACCAACAAGTACCATATTTTAACATCTTTTGTTATGAGGCAGTCGGGGATCAAACCCACGACCTTCCACTCTCCGGGCGGATGCTCTAACCACTACACCACGGAGGCACTAGTATAAATGTAATAAAATATACCTGTCACCAGTGTTAATCAGCTGTTGCAAGCCGTTACTCTGTACATAGCAAATGGTAACGGCCACGTCTAATCGCTGGTGGGTAATACTGACCTCACCACAAGCACATCATCTGGTAGCATATCTAGAATCTGTCAGCAGTCTTGAAAACATGGGTCCTGCCTTTAGAATCCACCACCACATAAGCACACATGAAATCAAACATATTTGTATCTTTTTGTTTCAGAACATTGTTCACTTCAGGACCTTATTATTAACCATGACCTTGCAATATTGTTGTACAAATGTATTACACCGACTCCCTAGGCTGTGTTCCCATGACGACAGTGGTGACACTGGCCTCACATTTGTAAGGCTTCTTTGCAGTGTTTGTATACATCACAGAAATAAACAAATTCATTTCACGGGGGTTTTAAGGGAAGTTCACAGTGAAATGTTCGCTCTTCTTCTTCATGTAGAATATGAAAGCCACCATTTTGGTTTCTACGATTGACTTTAGCGATCCTAAGTTGGTCATGAGCAACTTAAGACTTTGGATCTTAACTTTACGATTGACTTGGGTAAGATTGGTAAGTGGAACAGTATGTCGATCGTTACATCATGCTATGAACACGTGTTACATCAACTTAGATCCAACTTGACTAATACAAGCAAAGGTGGGGCCACAAATACACACACACACATACACACACACCCTGCCAGGGACTTGTGTTGATGTGACACACAAGACATTAAATGGCTAGCTTGTCCGTTGTCAACGAGGTGGATGGAGACGCCATTGATCCGTCATTTACATGACTGAGTTCTGTCTGGAAGAAGCGTTTGCGCGCATCGTGCAGGGAAAGAGGTTCTAGTTTTCCTGAAGCATACCGAAATTACTGAGGCCTTGCGAATGAGCACTTTTGAGACAACTTTGCTGATTGCACGACTAAATCTGATTGAAACCAATCAAGAATCCTGAACACTCGCACCATGAAAGGGTCGTATTAGAACAGAGGTTTGTAGGAAAATATGACAAGTAACCTCTGTGGGAAGAGAATGCTGTAGTACATGCTTCGTCTATTCTGTTGACTTTCTACTTCTGCCCTCAAGTTGTTTACACTGGGGATCATATAGAAACAGGTTCTAGGTAAAAAGTATGTTGGTTTGTTTAACTTGTTTAGCACATGGTGGGAGTATCAGCATGACGTCATTACTTGACATCATTATGGTAACCAGGTTGCTATGGCACCCAATACAAATCATGTTCTCCCTATTGACCAATCAGATTCCACCTACCATATAGCTTGCATTTGCTTCCAACTTAATGACAGTGAATGGTCAAGACAATCCAGGGGCAGATACAGCTTTTTGAGAAAGGAGGGGTGCACACTATTGAGAAAGGAGGGGTGCACACTTCATTTTCACAAGAGTTTCAATGGTCATTTAATAAAGTTTCAGGACAAAAGGCGCGCGCACACACACACACTCTGGATCCGCCTATGCAATCTGATCATGTCCGATTGCAAAAAGAAACTTTACTCATTCCATTGCTGCACCAGTAAAGGCTTACCGGTACTTAGTTTTCCGTCAATTAGCATCTGTGCTGGTTAAGGCTGGCTTCTTTCAGTTGTCTCGTGCTTGTACGATGCGTGTTTGTCCTCCGACCTAAAACAGCAAAGATATTGTCACTGGCATCATGAATGCAGAGATCGAAATAGTGCTTAGTTTGCATTCCATGGCATGGTAAATTTTGAACTGGCACGGATGAAATATTTTTAGTGTGCCATGGCGGGACGACTAAAATTGTAAAAATAATACTCACCATGATCTATTTAATGGAAAATCCAATAAATTTGACCAACGTAAATTATTCAAAACCTGTTCTTGCGCCCCATCACACTGTTTATCAGTAGCACTCTCAATCTCACAGCTTAACATGGGCATGGCCATTTTGAATGCTTTTCAAATTTGTGCACAACAGGAAATCCTGTTTTGAAAGATAACAGTATTAGTTTTTTGGTTAGTGTATGTGTCCAGGACAAGTGAAGCTGAACTGTTCTTGCAGTCATGATAGTGTTCGAAAAATCCAGATCTCAAGTTTACAGGTTTATGTAATGTTTACTGTTTATTAAACAATAAATTGAAATGACAAGTGAGTTTAACTTTACCTGGATCATGAAAAGGTTAATTACACTGACTGACTGACTGAGTTTTGGTTTTACGCCGCTTTTAGAAATATTCCAGCAACATCACGGCGGGGGACACCAGAAATGGGCTTCACACATTGTACCCATGTGGGGATTCGAACCCGGGTCTTCGGCGTGACGAGCCAACACTTTAACCACTAGGCTAGGCTACCCCACCACCCCGTTAATTACACAAAGACCCTTGAAGATCCGGGTTTGAATTGATCGTCAGCAACCCATGCTTGTTGTAGGAGGCAACTAATTGGATCAGTCGGTTAGGCTTGCTGACACACGTCATTTCCTAACTGCTTAGATGGATACTCATGCTGTTGATCACTGGATTGTCTTTTCCAGACTGGTTTATTTACGGACCACTGCCATATAGCTGGAATATTGTTGATCACTGGATTGTCTGTTCCAGACTGGATTATTTACGGACCACTGCCATATAGCTGGAATATTGTTGATCAGTGGATTGTCTGTTCCAGACTGGATTATTTACGGACCACTGCCATATAGCTGGAATATTGTTGATCACTGGATTGTCTGTTCCAGACTGGATTATTTACGGACCACTGCCATATAGCTGGAATATTGTTGATCAGTGGATTGTCTGTTCCAGACTGGATTATTTACGGACCACTGCCATATAGCTGGAATATTGTTGATCACTGGATTGTCTGTTCCAGACTGGTTTATTTAAGGACCACTGCCATATAGCTGGAAAATTGTTGATCACTGGATTGTCTGTTCCAGACTGGATTATTTACGGACCACTGCCATATAGCTGGAATATTGTTGATCACTGGATTGTCTGTTCCAGACTGGATTATTTAAGGACCACTGCCATATAGCTGGAATATTGTTGATCACTGGATTGTCTGTTCCAGACTGGATTATTTACGGACCACTGCCATATAGCTGGAATATTGTTGATCACTGGATTGTCTGTTCCAGACTGGATTATTTACGGACCACTGCCATATAGCTGGAATATTGTTGATCACTGGATTGTCTGTTCCAGACTGGTTTATTTAAGGACCACTGCCATATAGCTGGAATATTGTTGATCACTGGATTGTCTGTTCCAGACTGGATTATTTACGGACCACTGCCATATAGCTGGAATATTGTTGATCAGTGGATTGTCTGTTCCAGACTGGATTATTTACTGGACCACTGCCATATAGCTGGAATATTGTTGATCACTGGATTGTCTGTTCCAGACTGGATTATTTACGGACCACTGCCATAAAGCTGGAATATTGTTGATCAGTGGATTGTCTGTTCCAGACTGGATTATTTTACGACCACTACCATATAGCTGGAATATTGTTGATCACTGGATTGTCTGTTCCAGACTGGATTATTTAAGGACCACTGCCATATAGCTGGAATATTGTTGATCACTGGATTGTCTGTTCCAGACTGGATTATTTACGGACCACTGCCATATAGCTGGAATATTGTTGATCAGTGGATTGTCTGTTCCAGACTGGATTATTTACAGACCACTGCCATATAGCTGGAATATTGTTGATCACTGGATTGTCTGTTCCAGACTGGATTATTTACGGACCACTGCCATATAGCTGGAATATTGTTGATCACTGGATTGTCTGTTCCAGACTGGATTATTTTACTGACCACCGCCATATAGCTGGAATATTGTTGATCACTGGATTGTCTGTTCCAGACTGGTTTATTTACGACCACCGCCATATAGCTGGAAAATTGTTGATCACTGGATTGTCTGTTCCAGACTGGATTATTTACGGACCACTGCCATATAGCTGGAATATTGTTGATCACTGGATTGTCTGTTCCAGACTGGATTATTTAAGGACCACTGCCATATAGCTGGAATATTGTTGATCACTGGATTGTCTGTTCCAGACTGGATTATTTACGGACCACTGCCATATAGCTGGAATATTGTTGATCACTGGATTGTCTGTTCCAGACTGGATTATTTACGGACCACCCACTGCCATATAGCTGGAATATTGTTGATCACTGGATTGTCTGTTCCAGACTGGTTTATTTAAGGACCACTGCCATATAGCTGGAAAATTGTTGATCACTGGATTGTCTGTTCCAGACTGGATTATTTACGGACCACTGCCATATAGCTGGAATATTGTTGATCACTGGATTGTCTGTTCCAGACTGGATTATTTACGGACCACTGCCATATAGCTGGAATATTGTTGATCACTGGATTGTCTGTTCCAGACTGGATTATTTACGGACCACTGCCATAAAGCTGGAATATTGTTGATCAGTGGATTGTCTGTTCCAGACTGGATTATTTACGGACCACTGCCATATAGCTGGAATATTGTTGATCACTGGATTGTCTGTTCCAGACTGGATTATTTACGGACCACTGCCATATAGCTGGAATATTGTTGATCACTGGATTGTCTGTTCCAGACTGGTGGATATTTACTGGACCACCGCCATATAGCTGGAATATTGTTGATCAGTGGATTGTCTGTTCCAGACTGGATTATTTACGGACCACTGCCATATAGCTCGAATATTGTTGATCACTGGATTGTCTGTTCCAGACTGGATTATTTACGGACCACTGCCATATAGCTGGAATATTGTTGATCACTGGATTGTCTGTTCCAGACTGGTTTATTTACGGACCACTGCCATATAGCTGGAATATTGCTAAGTGCAGCGTTAAACAACAAGCAAAGAATTGCTCTGTCATAATGCTTGCTCTAAACATAAATCCTTATTGACCTCTTGTTTTCTGTGTGCAGTTTTCCTGGTTAGTGAAACATTTCCTTGTATTTCAGAGAAAATGTCGAAAGTGGCAAAGAAAGGGGCGGAGCTTTTGTTGTATATCACCGTGGTGAGGTGGTGGTTGACATGTGGGCAGGCTATGCAGATCCGGAAGCTGGAAGACGATGGGCCAGTGACACCATGTCTGTTGCCTTCTCCACTACAAAGGGCATTGCTGCTATAACTGTGGCCAGGATGGTAGACAGGTGAGTTAACAAACTCTACAGGTCCAGAGAATGTAATGCAGGAGCAGTTACAGCTTTTCTGAGAAAGGAAGGGTGCACAGTTCATTTGCAATGGTCATTTAATAAATTTTCAGGACAAAAGGGGTGTGCACACAGACACAAGCACGCGCGCACGCACACGCACATGCACACACACACACACACACACACGTAGATCTGGGTTAGAATTGGTCTTTAACAACCCATGCTTTCATAAAAGGCGACTAACATAAATCGGGTTGTCAGGCTCGTCCACTGACATGCATTGTATCCCATTGCGTAGATCAATGTTCATGCTGTTTATCACTGGATTGTCTGGTCCAGAATGGATTATTTACAGACCATGCCATGATATAGCTGGAATATTGCTGAGTGCGGCGTTAAACAACAAAACCAATACACTCAATATGCTCATAATATCACTTACTGACTTGTCAAGTTCAAAAAGTTATTATTAACAGGCCACTACAGTCCGTTTGGGTTCAAATGAGAACAATGAATGATTAATATCTCAAAACAAAACATAAATAAGACACATGGTCCTGAAACCTCTGTACCCAACAGGATCTGAAATCTGACATTTTATGATCGATCATGGAATAAGTTGTTTAAGAAACTATCATGTAATATTGTTCCATTTTCACGCTTCACATAGAGGGTGATTAACGGCTGGTGGAACAGCACCGCTGTTTCCTGACAAGTAGATGTCATCTCACCTGGCTGTGCTGAGCTGCATCTGAAGTGTATGGTGGTGCTGTTCCACAAGCCATTTGTCACCCCTATTTCGACTTATTTAGTCATTCATCATTCTCATTTGAACCCAAACAGGTTGTACATATATTAACTGGAATAATGCCGAGTTCGGCATGAAACAACCAATAGCTAAAAATATAGCAGCTGCCAATGTTTGTTTGTTTGTTTGCTACAGACTCATTCCAGTTACATTCAGACACTTGACGGGCCGGGGGGGTAGCCTAGTGGTTAAAGCGCTATTCGTCACCGGAGACCCGGGTTCGAATCCCCACATGGGTACAATGAGTGAAGCCCATTTCTGGTGTCCCCCGCCGTGATATTGCTGGAATATTGCTAAAAGCGGCGTAAAACCAAACTCAGTCAGTCAGTCAGACACTTGACGTAAGTTCCATAGACTTACATGTTATTTCAGTGAAGCATAAATAATTTTCGTAAAGTGAGTTTAGGATAGATCTTTGTAAAATATGACAGGCAAATGTGAAATCATCTCTGCTCTGCGCACACAATTTCAGTTCAATTTTCCGACCACTATTTAACTAATGACATCACATTTATCAACATAGGTATGGCTATACAATGCACAATCCCATAGGCGGGCGGTGGGGTAGCCTAGTGGTTAAAGCGTTGGCTCGTCACGCCGAGGATCCGGGTTCGATTCCCCACATGGGCACAATGTGTTAAGCCCATTTCTGGTGTCCCCCGCCGTGATATTGCTGGAATATTGCTAAAAGCGGCATAAAACTAAACTCAGTCAGTCAGTCAGGCAGACAATCCCATAGGCCGCCATGTTAAAGGAGTTCACGGCACTGTACATACGTTGATTCAACTGTTATTCTGTTGATTCGATAAATAAGCAACGGAAAATGAAACAGACATTGTTTTATTGTAGGTAAGAAGATTCCTCACAAATGTGCAAAATTTGACTTGGATCTTACAAAAAATAAATTTATGCTACACTAAATTTACATGTAAGTCTATCGAAATTACGTCAAGTGTCTTAATATAACTGGCACGGGTTTGTAAGTTCATCTGTCTCATAAATAAACTTTGGTTCCAGACCTATATGGATTCACTTTGCCAATGTAACATTAGTTTTTAGCCCTTCATCCTTTGCATCCTAACAAAAGAGTTGTTTTATTGAGATCTTTAATGCTAACAAAACCAAAATTATTATTAACTGCTAACCGCTTTGATTGTGTTGTTCTCATATTATTACCAGGGGATGGTTGGACTACAAGAAACCTGTGGCCCATTATTGGCCAGGGTTTGCCCAGAATGGAAAAGGGGAGATAACTGTGGAACAGCTGTTAGGACATCAGGTTGGTGATTTGTTTCATCACAATCTGTTCTTGAACTTTCTGGATAACCTGTTTATATAAGTTAAGTTTTAATCCTATGCATTTTGCAGTTCAGGTATTTTCAATTTTCCTCCCTTTTTTGTCGGAATTCTAACATGTTGATCGCAGGATAAGAGTGTTCGAGTTTATTTCGCAAACATTAGAATCACCTTGATTATGTTTTTTGTGGCATGGTACCCTTGTGGTTAAAGCGGTCACTTGTCTCAGAAAATACCTGGGTTCTATTCCCCACATGTATACAATGTGTGAAGCCTTTTCTGGTCTCCCCCCGCTTCGATATTGCTGTGTAGGAAAATGGGTTTTTCTTTGGGAGTAAATGTTATTTTTCACGCTATTGGGTTTGTTCACGCTAGTTGGTTTGTAATTTAGTGGGAAGTTTTACGTAGCAATTTCCGGGAGTAAGTGATTTCTTCAGAGGTTGCTTGTAGTGCATAAAATTCCACTTTTTACCTTTGTTTGGCTGTAAAATTCCGTTGGAATTATTCCTTTCCTGGACAGTTTACAGTCACGGCATGCGCTGCTTCACAGTTCCTGCTAGTAACACTTGCATGGTTCTGTTTGTTGCAGTTTAAGCCCTGTGCGTTGTGCTGTGCGCACTACCGCCACAGGATGGTCATAAAGTGTGCCTCCGGTGTTTAGCCGAGGACGCTCACGACGATCAAGGATGTTCATAATAAACGCCCTTGCGTCAATATTCCTGTTACACTATGTTGTGTTATGTTACACATATACATATTTCATACATTTACACTCAACGTGGCTCATAGTGGCCGAGGTTGTGTTTTTTTGTCTGGGTTTCTGCGTCTCACACGCATTCTTTCAGGCACGCAGATTTTATGTTTTTCACTAATCTGCTTCAGGTGGGGGATAATATTTGATGGAAGGTTTCTAAGGAAATCCCTTTATCGTTCCCCCACAAACAATGTTGCTGCCTTAAATATTGACTCAATTGCTTCACTATTTCAGCAACATATGCTGCAGCAGATGACTAATGTGAAGTCGATGATTGACAGTGCGATGTCTGGGCTCAGTTATGAGCTCGGCTCGCAACGTGTTTATCTCGATGGTAAAGTTGTCGTCCGTGAAATCCCTTGTTGACACGGTGCTGTCTGGGTTCCGCAAGGAGCTCAGCATGCTTGTCGTCGGGGGTGGATCGGACGCATCTGGGGGGGTTGGCTGCGGGGAACGCGCCTGCTCCCAGGCAGCTTGATCCTGGCTTCGGCTCAGGTGATGGTGTGCCTTTGGCGCGCCTTGTGGCGACCTAGCTTCGGGCTCAGGTTATTCACAGGCGCCTGGTGCCAGCGATGCAGGTTTCACCCTGTCTTCGGTTGTTGCACTGACTGGCGGTCACCTCGTCGCCTAGTGGTCAGTCGGGGTTGCCCGGGAAACCTGTAGCGGCAGGTTCCTCTCCGGTCTGGGTTCTACCGTGTACACCAGGGGAACCCTGCATTGCCAGGCTACTCCCAGGTGTCTTGGGACCGGGGATTGGACTAGCACCAACCTGGGCTTCGGCCCCGGTATGGAGCAGATCCCCACCACTGTTAGCTGAGGTCTCGGCCTGATGTCTATCGATGCCCTGGCCAAGAGGCCGTTGAGTGTAACGGAGCTACCGATCACCTCGACGCACCAAGGTCTACCTGTGTACACCAGGGGAACCCTGCATTGTCAGGCTACTCCCAGGTGTTTCAGGATCAGAGTTCGAACTCGAACCGCCGACCCGAGCGCATATATATATATATATATATGGGTATTTATATAGCGCTATAGGCTAAGTTTGACCATATGCTCAGTGCGCTTTTGGAGAGTACTGGGGGAACCCTGATTTATCAGGCTAGCTACTCCTACGTGTCTCGGGATCGGGGTTCGGTCTAGAACCGCTGAGCTACGGCTCTGCGGATGCTCTGAACCCCATGAGAAGCACCGACCCAGGCTTCGGCACTGGTAGGGCGCAGATTCCCTTCGCCGGTAGTTCGGGTCTCGGCCTGATGTCTATCGACGTCTTGACCAAGATACTATCGAGTGTGCTGGGTGTGTCGGTTACCTCGACGCTCCGAGGTCTGTGCTTGGGAAACCTTGATTTATCAGGCTTCTCACATGTGCCTCGTACAGTGGACAAGTCAATTTGAGCTTCGGCTCATTTCGCTACTTTAAACTTGCCACTGAGTAGGTTTGTACCTGAGGCAAGTGCGAGATAAAATCACGGCTGTGTTGCCTCGGGTGTTGTCCACGTCGAATACCCGAACCGTTGGAGTTCGCCTCCCTGAGTGAAGCCTGCTTCCAGCAAGGCATCCGGGACAAGGCCTCACACTCTACCGTCAGTCTGTCGTTCTTTCCCCTTAACAGCTCAACGCTGTATGCTCCACTCGGCGCATCTCTCTGCTCTGCTGAGGGAGCTGGTGGAAAGGGGAAAGAGCGCCTGTGATTTTTTGTCGGCGACTCTGGGCGGCATCACACGGAGGTCAACTCTCATCTGGCTAGGGACTGCATTGTAGCTGTGCCAGCCAAATGATGAGTGCGGTTATGGGCCTATGGCGCCTCGGACTGTTCGAGGAATACGGAAGTCTGTCGAGCTTCTCGTTAATTCCTCAGGTGCCCAGGCACCTGCAAACGTTAAGTTGCCGACTGCAGGGGTTTACTGTATTCTGCCACAAACCCCGGTCGGATCGATACACGCCAGTGTCAGCTTCCCGAGAGACGGCGAAATGACTCTGTGGCAAGATCCAATCTCTGCTGGGCAAGGCAACCAGCGTGGTGGTTTCCAATGGTCAGAAAAATGTGGGGTTTGTCTCCATTTATTTCCTCGTTGCCATTAAGAATGGAATGTTCAGACCCATTCTCATCTGAGAGCTGAACAAGTTAATAATAGAGGTACTGTCCTTCAAGATGGAGACACCGTGCTTAGTGATCTCATCTGTCGAGACAGGGGATTGGTGCACGTCAATCGACCTCGAGGTCGTGTACCTCCTTGTTCCATTGCACCCTGATTTCAAGATTTACCTTCAGTTCTTGTTTGACGGGACGTGCTACCAGTTTCGTGTGCTCCCCTTAGGCTACATTACGGCGCCAAGGGTGTTCACCAAATTGAGGTTTATTACAGCCCAGATAGCCAGATCGCAGTGCAGGTGTTGTCACCCGTACCCAGGCGACTGGCTCATCGTGGTTTTAGAATAACTGTTGAGTCTGGGGACCTCACCTTGGCTGAATTGTCAACCTCACGCAGTCAGGTGGACAGACGTCAGGCATCTCTCTGAGGGGCTCCCTTGGAGACAGCGTCGTTCTCAGTCCAGCCAGATACATCCCTCCCAGGTCAGGGCGATGTTCTGGGCGACCTGCGGTCTCTTGACGACAAAGTCACAACCTGCACATCAATGTGCTGGAATTGACAGCAGTCAGGTTGGTGTTCGATCCCGCACGCCGGGATTCGAATTACCTTTTCGTCCAGACAGTCTCACTCTGAACAGGGCGCCACACCCGAATCCTCGGATTCACAGGGTGGCTTGGCCTCTGTCGGGTCTAACCCCCAGAAACGCGGAATTCCTGCAACCGTTGCAGACACAATTCTGGCTTCGAGGCGGGATTCGACACCCGTTCAGGGTGTTGATAGGTGGGGTGCGCTGGTGTGCAGATTTCATAATCCATATTCTGCGGATTTAGTTCGGATATTGGAGTTACTATAACCTCTTTTTGGTTGAGAGCCTTATGACCTCCACCATTCCCGGGTACTCCATGGCTATTTCTACATTTCACACCTCATTCAATGGTGCTCTGCCTAGGCAGCACCCTCTCGTACAGTGCTTTGTAGCTGGCATGAACAGGGGTCGACCGCCGCGGCGGCGACCCAGCCCACCTTAAAATTGCCAATTATTCTCAAATTGGCTGTCTGGCCCTGACTTTTCAAGTATATCGTCTCTCTCACTTCACTTGTTGACGTGGAAGACGGCTTTACTTTTTTAGGTGAGCTCTGGTAGAAGGGTCAGGTACATCCATGCGATACCCACTGACCCGACACTGACAGTATTTTATACTGATCATGTCCGTATTCGCCTCCCGGATACCTACCACACTCTCAGTTCGATATTGCTTTCCACGTGGCTGCTCATATCGAACTTCCACCCCTTACCCAGCCTTCCACACCGGGGACCAATCTTTCGATTGCTCACCCGTGACTGTAACGAACGAACAAAAGGGATCCGTATGGGTACCCATGTGTTCTGTTTGGTGGCGGGAAGACTGGGGAGTCTGCTAGCAAGCGGACTTTATCTCGTTGTCTTGTTTCCGTAATTGTTTGATTACAATGCTAAGGTTTACCTTCCCCCCAGGGGTTGAACGCAGACTGGGTAGGGCAGATGCCGCTTTGTTGGCAATACACAGCGGCACTGCTCAATGAAGAGATCGGTTCTGTCGCTATCTGGAGCCGGCAGAACGCCTTCATTCGCCATTACCGACTTGACACGCATTCTAAGGATCGTGCTCGGTTCAGTCTTTCGGTTCTCTCCAGTGGTGAGTGTCCTGCCACCCTGACCAAGTTATTAACTGGTCATTGGTATCAGTTCTGTGTTCAATGTCGATATGGTTCATATCGCTACATCTAATTAGCCTTACCACCCTTTCGGGATGGGTTGGGTTTGGGTGTACATTCATCCCTTACGTCCTCTTCACTTAAAGGCAAGAGGGCGGGGTCGGTTTTGAACACTTTAACCAGTCATATGCTATTAATCCGTCTTGCGATGGAATTGGGTACGAACCCCCCATGGGTCACTGTTTGGTATGCCTCTCTTCGAGCATGTCACGTGACCAGGTTAGTGTAATGGTGAGCCAACACGTTTGGCTAGGCTTTTAGCTATTCAGGGAATTTTTGTACACTTACAGTTTTTTCCCTCTGCCGGAGACTGCGGTATTTGGGAGTCTGTGTTAATCAGCTTTGTGGGATGGTGGTCTACACTCACCCTCCTCACGCCCAGAGTGTTTGGTGGGGATGTTTTATCCTGTTTTTCACTCGTACAATGCATGCTGTTTGTACTCTTTTGATTTCCTCAGAAAGTTTTTAGCGAGGCTAATAATTTCTCTGGGTTTTATCGAGGTCTCGGCAAGCCCTCTTCCAAACAGGAGGGGTGCATTCGAGCATTAGTTTGCAGTACTTATTAGCTCGACTCCTTGGTTATTGGCTTTTTAGCGTTTAAATTTTTACGCTTTCCCTACCCTTATACCTCTCGCCACGCTTCTCTGGCTGGGGCTATATTAGGGTTGGGAGTTGTTTCGGCATGTCCCCATACATTCCTTTCCATTGTAATGGTTGGGGGTGGGGTTTTATGTCATTGATTTGAGCCAATTGACATAAAAGTTTGGGCTCTCTTGTTCACGCTCCCGTCTGATTGACATCAGCGGTCAGGTGGTTCGGTAAGTGTTGTTTTTTATTTCCGTATCGGTTGTAGATTTCACTTCACCACGGGTTTAGTTGTTGCCAGACAGAATGCCACTCCCTTCTCAAATATCTTTGGGAGTCTGTCATATGCTTATATGTACCCCAATGAGGACTTCTTCTGAAAAAGAATTATACAAACCTGTAGAGGTTATGAATTCTTTGAAGAAAGTCCTCCTTGGGGTACGGCCACCCGCCTCCCCTCATTCTGTCTGACACGTTCAGCATGAAAAGTGAGGTACGAGGTAGACGGCGAGAGTTACCTGCTCTTGGCTGTAGGGGGGCCCTGTATGGGTGGTCTCCCAAGACAAAACAAGTTTTTTGTTTTGTAAATATTTTATTAAAAAAAATAGTTACAACTGTCGTAGGATTTAAAATGGACATTTAGATGCATATATGTACCCCAAGGAGGACTTTCTTCAAAGAATTCATAACCTCTACAGGTTTGTATAAATTTAGTGAATATCTACTTGCTGCTAACAGTCATTTTCGTTTTTGTCATTAAGCATTATTGCACATACTCATATTGGATGCCTCGGATAGTTTTATGAATACAGTGACATTTATTGTGCAACATGTGAAGTGTTGTTATAGTTAAAGTGTGTGTTATCAGGGTGGCAAGGTGTCCCTCATTGGATGCCTCGGATAGTTTTATGAATACAGTGACATTTATTATGCAACATGTGAAGTGTTGTTATAGTTAAAGTGTGTGTTCTCAGGGTGGCTTGGTGTCCCTCGGCAACAAGACAAGTCTGTTCGATTACCGTGACAACCAGGAAGAGTTCACCCGCCGACTGGAGAAAGTGACGCCCATCTGGAAACCAGGTCTCCATCTTGTCACCATTTATTTCAGTGTTTGAGTGAGTGAATGAGTTTGGTTTTATTCCGATTTTAGCAATTTTCCAGCAATATCACGGCAGAGGACACCAGAAATGGGCTTCAGTGTTTGAAACTCTGTCAAGTTCTTTGTCATAGTTATAATATAATAGATGATTAAAGTTTAAGGTTATCTCCAGATCCCTGGCCCGTTTCCCAACCTACTTCAGCTCACTTTCCAAATTTCCCCTGCAGAGATTCCTATTTTCAAAGGATCTGGGTACCTTGGTCTAGCTTAGTGACTGAACAACTAACTAGCATATATACATATATACTTTGTTCAGGGTGTGCTTGTAAGCCAGTCATCTTAATTCCCCAGTTCTGTGTGCAGAGTTACATCCCTTAAGAATGTCAGGATCCAAAGGGATTCCTATCTTCCAATCATCTGTACACCTGATTCTAGCATAATAACCGAATCAGTGACTGGGTTATATTCTTTGTTCAATGGTAGCTGGTAAGCCACGCATCTGAAGGGCCACAGTTGTCTGCGCAGAGTTACATCCCTTGTCAGGATACAGTGATCATGTGTTTGATTCCCAACTTGGCCTGATCAGGGGACGGTGGGGTAGCCAAGTGGTTAAAGAGTTATCTCCTCACGACGAAGACCTGGGTTCGATTCCCCACATAGGTACGACGTGTGAAGCCCATTTCTGGTGTCGCCCCGCTGGAATATTGCTGGAATATTGCTAAAAATGGTGTAAAACAAACTCAATCACTCCCACGCTCACCTGATTATATTTTAAGATCATCAGCTTGTGGGTTTCACCCAAGGGTTACTGGAAAATGTCAAAAACCGGCATCACTTTAGGCTATCCCCCCAAACCAAGTTGGTTTGCCATGATATAGCTGATAAAAGGTTCAAAATAGCATAAATTTAAAACCGAACTCACTCACTCTCTCTTTGTTCAGGCACCCGTCATGGTTACCATGCCATCACGTATGGTTTCTATCTGGACACACTGGTGAGGATGGCTGACCCAAAACACAGAAACATGACGCAGCTATTCAGGGAGGAGATCGCCGAGCCATTTGGTGAGTGATGAAAATATATTTAGGGCTCCTTGCCTCTAGGCAGGAGACCTATTGTAATCGTTCGGATTATTATTATTATTTATTATTCCGCTGATTTTTGTACCAAACATAACTCAAATAGCAAATATCTCAAGAACTAATTGTTCCAACACTTCCAAATTTCTTGTACAGATGCACAATCGAATTCCCAACAATTTTGCCTGGACGGGTCAAGTCGCTAAAACGTACCGTTTGGCAGTTATTTTTGTTTTCAGTTTTTGGCCATGTTTTTCAGCAGTTTTCTGAGTAGTTGGCTGCCAAAATGTGCAATTTTTAAACTTATCCTATCTCACGACTTCATTCGACCATGAGTGGAAACGAATTAAAACTTGCTTCAGGCCTACCTTGCCCCTCTCCCGTGCTGAGCGTGCCTTCCTGTCTCAGTCGTGCTCACTAGTCCATGACAGCACGAGGCATGCGCAGTCCTCACCCACGTGATCACCTCACATACTCATTCTCTTTCTTGTCACTCCACTGAGTGGACGTGAAATTTTTTCGTCTGAGAATTGCTCAAAATGGTTAAGTCTGTTCAGGCCAGTAAACGGAAGTTTTGCGCCCGTTGTAATAAAGTATTGTCTGCATGGGACCCACACACATCGTGTGTTGATTGTGTGGGTTTTTGTGACTGGGACACACGCTGTCCTAAGTGTTCCGGACTGTCTAATCAGGCGTTTAAATCTTACAAACGTGCTTGTGCCAGACGTTTGGCAGATAGGGCTAGGACTAATTCTGCGGGGTCTGGTCCATCTCCCGCTAAGAAACAATGCTTAGATTGCCCCACCCTCACTGCTCACCGTTCTAAATCGCCCGTCTCTCCTGACGAAGATTTATGGACGCTTCGTCGGATTCCTATTTATCTGAGAACGTTAGAAGGCTTTTAGGGGAGCTTCCCTCACCCAGTTTAAGTTCTCATGAGCATACCAGGTGGTAATGACCGATATTTCTTCTACGCCAGACCTGCAATCTACATTATCTCGTAGGTCTGTTTCTTCGGAACGATCACAGACTTCGAGAACTTCTAAGCATTCATCGTCGAAGCGGGGATCGGCGCGGTTGGAACGTACCCGCTCTCCTATTTCCACGGTTTCATCTCACCGGAACAATTCACCCACACGAGTTGAGTCACCATCTGGTGCGAAAGTTCGAATGCGTTCTTCCACGGCTGGGAGGAGTTGCTCTTGTCGGCCTTCTAACGTACCAGTTCCAATTAATTCATTCCCGAGCCGGCTCACACGGCCGAGCCGGTTCACCATGCCGAACCGGCTTACCCTACCGAACCGGCTCACCAGTACATGTTCGAATGGGTTCACCTGACCGAACTGATTCACATACTCGTAGGGGTTCACCTGACCGAACTGATTCACGTAATCAAATGGGTTCACCTGACCGAACTGATTCACGTGATCGAAGGGGTTCACCAGGACGAACGGGTTCACAGTCCCGACTCAGTTCACCTCAACATAGGTTTCAGTTCGACACACCATCTCATAGTCGAATCAATTCACCACAGCATTTTGATTCCCGTAGTCGTTCAGTCTCACCTGGTCGAGGTGGTTGGCCATTTCGATCCGGTTCACCTAGCCGTACGGTGTGTTTTCGTCAGAGTGATTCTCGTAGTCGGTCTCATTCACTTCAGGTGAATCAGGATATCCCATCTTGTCAGTCTAGACTCAGTAGCGTAATTTTGCGCACACTGTAACAAAATTTACTTCCTCGGATCCCCAATCGTCATGTTTCTGGAGCAAACGTTGTCGGGAATGTGCTCCCTTATTAAGGACGTTTTTAGAGCATGTAGACATGTTTGCTCCCGATGGCTGGCAGATAGAGCTCGTTATACTTCAACAGTTGATCACCTGACAAACCCCCGCTTTTAACGACCGGGATTAACTGCTCGTCGTCCGCAGATTCCCATGTCGGACGGTCATTTTTTTATGGGCGCATCATTAGATGTCTTCTCGTGGTTCCACCTCATCAAAACGCTCTGTGCTGCCAGTTGACTCACACATCCGATCTACATCGTCAAATCGCCGAACCGATTCACCACACTGAATCGGTTCGCCATACCAATTGGATTCACCACACCCAATCGGTTCGCCATACCGAATGGATTCACGACACCGAATCGGTTCGCCATACCGAATGGATTCACCACACCCAATCGGCTCGCCATACCGAATGGTTTCACCAGACCGTACCGTCAAATTGCCGAACCGATTCACCACACTGAATCGGTTCGCCATACCAAATGGATTCACCAGACCGAACCGTTTTCGCCACGCTGCATGTGAATACGACATCGACTCAGTTCGCCATAATATTAAGACTGACGACATCGACTCTGTTCGCCATAATATTAAGACTGTTTCTTATCGCCGAAACAGTTCACATCATCGATTCAATTCAGCACCGAAACGATTCACCTCGGCCGGAACATTTCACCTCACCTCACCGGTTCATCTGAACGTTCTAGATCTCTCCATCAGCTGAGATCAGTTAACCGTTTCGGATTAGCGAACCGATCCAGATCAGTCACGATTCAGATCACATCGGACTGATTCAGATCACGTCAACTTTCCGGCTCACCACCCTGAACTGATTTACCAGCCGGCTCGTACCTTTTCACCAGGTCGATAGCTCCCTATCGTCGAACCAGTTCACCTGGCCGTTCAAGATTAATGTACAGAGGTAGTAGCTATGTGCTTCACCATGCGATTTGATTTACATGTGATGTTAGTAAGCGGTCATCATCTCGAGATATCACGCCGGCACTTGGCGGCCTGGCGATCCCAGTTCTCAAGCGTCCTCCGTGACCGGGGCTAATCTCATTCCAGATTTAATCTACCATCCGATCTTCACTTTTGATGAATGATTCCGTTCAACGATTCTTCCCTTCGGTGTAGATATCAGTTCTGCAACCACCCGATATGGCATAACTAGATACGCTTGCTAGCCAGGAATACTCTACGACGCTCGGATGAGTCTTGTTACTACAGACTACTGGTAACAGTGTGTTAGTGTATCACTGGGTACAATTGTTGCAGACGGCTCGTCATCTTCAGCTCCCTTTGTTTTACATGATAAGCAAGTTTCTGGACAGATAACAAATGGGTGAAGTTCTTGCGCATGGTACCAGCAATGTTTTGTCAAATAGCCAGCATAGCTCAGCCCGGAATTTATGGGTTGCGACTCGCCCGGTTAACCAAAGACCATGTTGTCCGTATTTTTTGTCACTCGTGTGTAACGTTTGCAAATGGCGGACTACTGTTTGTTTACCGGAATTTGATGATTAGAGTGACTATGAAGTGCCCTTGCAGAATTCTCTTGGTCCCATGAATCGGATACCAAGTCCAGCTTTTAAATGCAAGTAACAACGAACGCTGCCATTTCCCGGTAAGAGTGAATGTGTCGGGATTTTGACAGCCAGTCGAGAGAGACTGCTTATTGAGGGTGACGGACAGAAACACCCGTGAACGGTTTGACTAGTTCAAGCACTAAGTTCAGAGGTCACTGCATTATGCAAGGACTGTCACCAAGCAGTGATCTACTACCTATATCACTCCACCTGGCGCACCATTATTTTGTTCGGACAAAAGAAACGTTCCTGAGGTCACCGATCCTACGAATTTCTACAATTTGTTTATAATGTGAACGTTCCTGTAGATTGACTGACAATCTCCATGCGCCGAACATACTACATCGAGCACTCCGTCAGAGCTGACGTAGTTGCTCGACTTATTGAACGTTCTTATATCAGGAGATATCTTTTTGTCAGAGGCAAGAGTGGTTAGACCTCTCATTTCCCTCGACCTGCGATGGCCGTGGGGTAGCCTAGTGGTTAAAGCATTGACTCGTCACGCCCAAGACCCCGGTTCGATCCCCACATGGGCACAATGTGTTAAGCCCATTTCTGGTGCCCCCCGCCGTGATTTTGCTGGATTATTGCTAAAGGCGGTGTAAAACTAACCTCAGTCAGTCAGTCAGTCAGTCCCTCGACCTGTGAGACGCCTACCTTCACACCTGGATACATCCAGACTATCGGAAGTATCTTCGATTTACTTTTATGGGGAGTCCTTGATACCAATGGAGGATCCTGCTGTATGGGAATATGTGCAGCCCCGTGGCTTTTTGCTCAGATACCCATTCTGATAACAAGCTACCTGCATTGTGGAAGCGTGACAATTGACAACAATATCGACGACTGTGTTCAAGCCCAGCAGGATCCCAGTCGTCCTTCCTTTCCACAGACAGTTCATCATCAAGTTGCTCACGCAATTAGGATGGCTGCTAAATTCGGAGCAATCAGGGGTAACACCGACCCGCTGTTTCTTCTTATTGGGACCATATTTAACACGACAGGTCATGATGTTTGTGCCCCAGGAGAGGTGGGACAAGATTCAGTTCAACGCACCACTAGTGTTGGTCCAACCCACACCTTTTCGCCAGTGGCAGAAGTTACTAGGGTGGTTGGCGTCGGCACAAGCGCTGACTTACAGGGGCCAGCTGCAGCTTGCCCTCTTCAGATGGTTCTGTGCCCATACATCGGGGACGACAACCCCAGGGAGTTGATTCGTCTTCCCGCACAACTACATTCAGTCTTTCGTTGGTGGCTCAACAAGTGGAATGTTTGTGTTGGAGTCTCTAGGGTGCCCTTCATACCGACTCAACACCTATTCGTTGGCACATCATGCAAGCTGGGGCGCTCACTTTCTCCATCAAGTGGCCTAGCAGTGGTCATCAGGAGAAAGGGCCCTTCATCACAACGAATTGGAATTCAGCACTGTCATTATCGCCTGTTCGGCACTTGGGACAACCATCAGCTTCAGCGCAGATGATCACCAGTTGCGATCATTTCTGCTTTGTGTACAATCTGAATAAAATTCTGAATTCTGGGCGTGACTGATTACACTCGTTAAGCTACGTCCTTTCACTTTGTGAAGTTAGTGACTGAACACCACATTGCT